TACTGGTTTGTGTGTGTGAAAGTGAGTGTGTGTGTGTGTGTGTGTGTGTGTGTGTTGCATGTCTCATAATTTTTTTGTTGTAACTCTGAATTCTGATCCTACTGAGTGGTTGTTATTATCATTTGTTTCTTTGTTTGCCTGGATTAATGCTATGAATCCATTTTCCTGGTACTGTGTAATAGATAATGTCTCTGATTAGGATTTTTAAAAATCTTGCCTGACTTCCTAGAGGTCCGTGCTGGGTTTGCATAAGCACCTTGAACCAGTAAATATTCCATTATTTGCTGGACAATCTATTCATGATATAAGGAAAAATAAATAAAAAGTAAAAGAATCTGTTATGTTTTAAAGAATGCATTCAAATTTCTGAAATATTGCCCCATCTTTTTCTCTGTGTTTTCAAGATCTCACCTTCAGCCTAAGAGAAGTAGTAAGCTGGTATCCTCCCTGGTCTCTCCTTAGCTATCCATGGCCTTCTAGACCACCGGGAATAAGTAGAATCCTGTCAAGATCTACTCTACACTAGGAACTGTAGCTCAGTGGTCAAGTGTACTACATGCAGCCCTAAATTCAATCTCCAATACAAAAGAAAAAAGAAAAAAAACAAAACAACAACTCTCTAGTTGTCTTCTTCTAGATCTTCTTTGCTAAATTTCTTACTGGTCTATCTGCTATTTGCCCCAACTAATATGTAAAGCTCTGGCTATGATGGTAGCTTTCCCTGAGTTTTTGTTGCTGCTATTGCTCTTGTTTTAACAACGTCCCTGAAAGAGTAATGTTCTGCACTCTTCAGTCCCCACACCTTCTCTGTGCTGGTAGGACTACAGAACTGGGGGTAGGAGAACAGCCACTGTTGGGTAAAATGCCCTGGATTCCCATTATTTTTACTGAGGTTTGATATGTTTTCTTAAATTAATGCTTCCCCATTTCCTGTGTCTAATTTAATACAGATGTTTCTTAGCTTATGATAGGATTTCATTCCAACAAACCCATCTTAAATGAAAATATCACAAGTTGAAAATGTATTTAACACCCTAATCTACAAAATGACCTACTTTAGCCATAATACCCTGTAGCTTGGATGTTGTCCGTAGTGATTGTGCAGCCAATAGGAGCTGCCATTTGCTGCTGCCACCCAGCATCAATAAGAGAGGATTGTATGACATATTCCAAGCCTAAGAAAAGACTGTCTACTGAATATGTACTTTTACACATAATAAAGTAAAAAACTCCCAAGCCAAGCCATTGGATTTGGGAACCATCTGAATATCTAAAACTGAATCCCTGCTTCCTATACTCTCCCACTATAAATGCACACTGTATCTTTTCAGTTCTTTAGGTAAAAAACCTTGGGATTATTTTTTGCCCCTATTTTTCTCCCTCATCTCATTAAATCCACCTGTAAATGCTATTCATTCTACCTTCAAAGGGTGCCCAGAATCCATCTGTCTCCTGTCACCACTGCCATCACCCTGGATCCATTCCACCTTTTTCTTTTGGTGTCCCTGCTTCTGCTATTGCCCTCTTCATCCCTTCTCTAGGCAGCCAGAGGTAGCCAAATCTGAGCCACAACATTTCATTCCTTTGTTCAAATCCCCTCCAGGATTTGCCCCATCCACTCAGGATGAAAGCAAGCATGAGGAGGGTGCTAGCTAGTCTCTGACTTCATCTCCTACTACAGTCTCAGTGCTTTACAACCAAGATGGTCATATCAGTCAGGGCCTACTCATAAGGCAGGGGAAAAAAGCTATGCAGTAATTTGTATGGATAAAATTTCATATAAGGAAATATTTGTCGGGGGGGGGGGGTACAGGTTAGTTAGTAAGCCATCAAGAGAACCCCAGAGATTATAAGAATTGCAGATTTAAACTACCCTTAGGGTTGGGACAGAGAGCCAGGCCTCACAGGAAAGGACATCCATGACTCAACAGATGACAGAGAAGCCACTGTGGTGCCTCATTACCAGAACCTGCAAGAAATTTGCCCTCTAGGATAACAGGGAAAGCCATTCATGAAGTCTCTCCCCAGAGGCAGTGTTACAAAATCACCCATGAAGCGTGGGAGAGGACACTGCTGGGTGCTGAGTGCTGATGGCCTCTATGCATTGCAAAAGCCATCGTCCCTGCAGAGCCTGCACTGGAGGAATCATCCAGGCTGCGAGCCCGGCCAGAGAAGCAAGGCAAGCTGCTGAGGCCTACGGGGAACACACCAGAACCAGAGGAAATCTTTTCCTGGGAGGTCTCTCTGGCACCCTCTACTGACAAACCTGAACATCGTGCCGGCTGACAAAAAATGAGTAGCTGAGAGGAGGTTCTAAAAGGTGCATTTGAAGCTGAGATGCAGTAAATAGATAAACGGCACTGCAACCTTCTTGGTCTGAAAAATAAAAGGCACTAAATTGCCTTTGCATGTGTTGCTTTCCCTACTTGGAAATCTTTTTCTCATTTCCCAACCACGTCTGCCTGGCTTGTTCCCTTCCAACAGGTTACTGCTCAACTTGCTCTTTATGACCCCTCTACCTAATTAGACCCAAACTTTCAGTACAGTCCATCAACTCTCGGACTTTCTTTTCTCCATAGCAGGTATTCCCATTTTAATTCCTATTCATTTATGTGGGGTTTTTTTTGTTCAGATTGGTTTGGTACCAGGGATCGAACTCAGGACCTTGTGCTTGCGAGACAGGTGGTGGAACCACTGAGCTAAATCCCCGGCCCTCATTTATGTGCTTATTAATTTATGGTCCATCTTCCCACTCTGGATTGTAAACTCATTAACTACAAGGAATTTTTCTATTTTTCTCACTGTTGTGTGCCCAGCAAAGTTTAACAGAACAGTGCACGCAGTGGGTGTTCAGTAAATATTTTTGCATGAATAAATGAAGTGTACATTAGAAGGACACCAGAAGAGAACACAAAACACCAGCTAGTGTCATCTCCTGGACATTCCCACAGTGAACATGGTAGTACATTTCTCCTTAGATTTTCCCCTGAGGTGTTTTGTTTTGTTAATTCTTATAGGAGTTTAACATACACCAAGAAATTTATTCATATCAAAAGTGTGATGGGTCCAGGGATTTAGCTCAGTGGTTCCACTACCTGCCTCGCAAGCACAAGGTCCCAAGTTTGATCCCCAGTACCAAAAAAAAACACTGTGGAACTCACAGAATTCTTTCACAAACTAAATCCATACTCTCAGATCAAAAATAAACTACCACCAGCACCCTAGGAGCTCCCTCCTCTCTGTGCCCTCTTCAAGGATAACCACTACTCTATAGGAGCAAAGTTAGTTCTTATACTTTGTAAGAGCAGAATTACATACTATGTATTTCTTTCATGTTTGATCTTTGGCTTGTATCACTTGGTACTTCATCTGAAAGACTCCTCCATATTTCTGTGATACGGCAGGCCTGCTTTTCATGCTTTGTTTTGTTTTGCTTTGCTTTGTGTTGTTGAGAGAGGATCTCACTATATAGTCCAAAACAATCTAGAACTCATTATATAGTCCAGGCTGGCCTTGAATTCTCAGCCTCAGCTTCTCACCTCAGCCTTCCAAGTGCTAGGATTATCAGTGTATACCTCCCTGCCTGGAGATTACAGACCTGCTGAACTATTCCTTGATGTGTAATTGCTTGGATAGGCTAAATTCATCCATTTTACTACTGAAGTGTATTTGAATAGTATCTAGTTTGAGGTTATTATGAATAGAGTTGCTAATAATACATTTTCTCATATATTTTTTGTAAACATACATCAGCA